CATGTCAGCAAGGACTTGATTTTCCAGGTCCAGGATGGTGTTCCAGGCAGTGCCATGAGGCACAGGGAGTGTCCACAACCATCCAGGGTTTGTCTCCACCATTGTCAGCACGTAGCCCTTGCCTTGGCAGGTTTGGGGAGTGCGATGGGATCAATCTGCCAGGCCTCCCCAGACTTATATTTTGATCATCATCCCCCACACCGAAGGGGCTTTCTGCACTTGGCTGTTTGATCACAGCACACCTTTCACGGTCAGGGATAACCTGGGAGATGGCTAAATCCATGGTTAAATCCACCCCTCGATCATAAGCCCATCTGGATGTTGCATCTCTACTCTGATGACCTGAGATGTTTTGGGCCCACTGAGCCAGAAATAATTCACCCTTATTTTGTCAGTCCAGATCTACCTGAGACACTTTAATCTTGGCAGCATGATCCACCTCTCCATTGTTGTGATGGTCTCCATTAGCCCAGCTCTTAGGTTAGTTTGTATCTACATGACAGACTGTCACAGCTAACTCCTCTACCCAGGCAGCAATGTCTTGCCACAACTCTCTAGCCCAGATGAGTTTACCTTTGTGCCAATTGATCTTTTTCCACTGGTCCAGTCACCCCCACAGAGTGTTTGCCACCATCCATGAGTCAGTTGAGAGGCACAATGTTGGTCACTTCTCTCATTCTGTGGTATCAAAAGCCAGCTGGGCAGCCTTCAGCTCTACAACCTGATTTGATCCACCTTGTCCCTCAATAGCTTCTGCAACTCATCATGCGGACTTCATAGGGCAGCTTTCCATTTTTGATGTGCCCCTACAATAGCACAGGAACCATCAGTGAAGAGAGTGTGTTGCCTTTCATTTTCTGATAGCTGATTACCTGGTGGGACCTCCTCAGCATGTGTCATCTTCTTCTCTTCTGAGAACAGACCAAAATATTCACCTTCAGGCCAATTTGTGATGATCCCCAAGATCTCTGGGCGATTGGGATTTCCTATACAAGCTCGCTGCGTGATCAGAGCAGTCCACTTGTTCCACATGGCATTGGTGCCATGATGTGTGGAAGGGACTTTCCCTTTGAACATCCAGCCCAGCACTGGCAGTCAGGGTGCCAGAAGGAGCTGTGCTTTGGTGCCAATCACTTCTGAAGTGGCTCAAACCCCTTCATGAGCTACTAGGATCTCTTTTTCATTTGGGGTGTAACAGGCCTTGGACCCTTTGTATCCTCAACTCCAGAACCCCAGGGGTCGTTTTCAAGTTTCCCCAAGTACGTTTTGCCAGAGCCTCCAGGAAGGACCATTCTCCCTGGCTGCAGTGTAGAACACATTTTTTACATCCTGTACTGTCTTGACTGACCCAAGGGCTACTGCATGAGCAACCTCCTGTTAAAAAACTTGTTGTTGTTCAGGACACCACTTATAGTCATTCTTCTCCCAGATCACATGACAAAGAGGGCTGACAATATGACTGTAATCTGAAATATGCATCCTCCAGAAACTCACAGGGCCCAGGATAGCCTGTGTTTCCTTCTTGCTGGTGGGTGACAATGTAGCTGCTGTTTTGTTGACCACATCCATTGGATTCTGATGATGTCCATCTTGCAATTTTACTCCCAAAAACTGAATTTCCTGGGCAGGACCCCTAATATTACTTTGTTTTATGATAAAACTAACCTTCAGGAGGATCTGGATAACTTTCTCTCCTTTCTGAAAAACCGCCTCTGATGTGTTGCCCCACACAATGATGTCATCAATGTACCGTAAGTGTTTTGGAGCCTCACCCTTTTCCAGTGCAGTCTGGATCAGACTATGGCAAATGGTGGGGTTGTCTTTCCAGCCCTGGGGCAGTCAGTTCCGGTGTACTGCACACCCCTGCAAGTAAAAGCAAACTGTGACCTGCACTCTGCTGCCAAAGGAATGGAGAAGAACTCATTAGCAATGTCAATAGTGGTGCCACTTGGCTGCCTTGGACTCCAGCTCGTACTGAAGTTCCAGCATGTCTGGCACAGCGGCATCAGTGGTGGTGTGACTTCATTCAGGCCATGATAGTCCACTGTCAGTCTCCACACTCCACTGGACTTATGCACTAGCCATACAGGACTATTAAAGGGGGAGCAAGTCTTGCTGACCACTCCCTGGCACTCCAGTTCATGAATCATGTCCTGGCTGGGGATCGTGGTGTCCCGGTTAATGGGGTATTGCCGACATTGCGCTGTTGTGGTAGCAATCAGGACCCATTGCTTTTCAACCCACAGCAGTCCCACAGCAGAGGGGTCCTCTCAGAGACCAGACAAGGTATTCAAGTGTTTAAGTTCCTTTGTCTCCAGCAGCTATCCCAAAAGCCCAGCAATGTCCTTTTGGGTCCTTGAAATACCCTCTCCTGAGGTAATCTATGCCAGGATAGATGGGGCTTCTGGAGCAGTCACAAGGGGATGTTTCATTTCCAGTCAGGCTCACTTCAGCTTCCAGTGTGGTCAGCTGTTGGGATCCTCTGTCAGCCTAGAAAGAGAGATGGATTCTACCCCTACATTTCTTGATGGCATCGGGGTGCATTGTGTACTGGTGTCAAACCAAAGCCTTATACTCTTGTGGATCAGAAGTGTCATCAGACCCACACAGTCCAATAGATCCAATTGTCCCTTTCCTCTGCCTGGCTGGAGGCAGAGCCCCTCTTGTTCTGGTCATAGTACTTGCTGCTCGTTTCTAGAAAATATGAGCTGGAGGTCCCTTCAAGAGGATTGGAAGTAACATTAGCCCTCCTACTTTGTTTGTGGACTTGCCCATTGGAAATCGGAGCGGCATTTATCCTTGAAGACTTTCCTGAGGTGGTTGTCCTTCCTCTCAACTCACATACCCATGCTGCTGGGGCAGCATATCCTCTCTGTGGTCATGTTGGTAAAACCACAGGTTACCTCATGGTAACCTCTCTCTTGAGCAGGGGGCTCTTGCTCTTGCTCCCAGTTGCAGAGACTCTGGTCGATACTAGCTGGGGTGGGGACATTTCCTCTCTAACTTGCTTGAGTCTTTCAAATCTGTCCGCAGTCTTGGTACAGTCTTTTCACAGCTGAGGCACAGATCGGTACGGAGGTAAAAAAAATCATATTGCTGAAGTCAGGTAGTCACCGGAACCCCTGATTGTTTTTCTTTCATTGACATCTGTGCCAATGAGTCAGTATACAATCATGGCACACCCTGTACAAAATAAACCAGTCCTGGTGGTTGGACTTTGTAGTTGGGAGGATAAAAAGAGTTGATTATCAAAGTACGCACAGGACCATCACTAAGCAACAGGTCGCTGCTGTCAGTCATGATTTTGGCTGTAAAGTAATGATTTGATGGAAATGAAGGGGTATTGGAAGGGAAATGCTGGAAAACAGAAATGCCTTACAATTTGTGAAAGAATGTGTAATGTGGACTAATGTTACAAGGGGTTCAGGACTCTCACTGGTGTCCTTTTGAGTCTGTACATCTATGTCCATGGCATACACCACTGCTTGAGCCTGCAAACAGGAAAATAGCAGTCATGGCCATTGACTTGGGAAGAAAACCCCAGACCTCCAGGCTTGGCTTTAGCCACTGGGTGGGAGAAATCACCAATCTATGGAGCTGCTGGAGATGATGGTGATGCCGAAAATCCTCAGAATGATTAACTACTCAGAGACTTTTATATCTATAAGCAGCAAGGTATTTGCTTATTCAACATTGGGAGCAAGCCAGCTCATGCTGGACAAACTTGCTCAACTTCATTACTTTAAAAGAAAACTTTTATTTTAAATGATTACTTGTTGAAATAAAAATAACCATACAATCAAAACCATTCCTTCATCCCTTTTCTTTCCTAGGTTGCAAACAGTAAATACTTCGGTCTATGACCCCTCACTTACTCCCTTCTGCACTACCTATCTGTATATTTTGGCATATCCTCTGAAAGTGCTTGTGCTGGTAGCAGAGAGATACTGAGAGAGGCAAGGCCTAAGGTCAGCATTTTCATCAATATTCAAATCTCTAATATATTCAGTGATTAGACACTTTCAAAGACTCTTCATGGTTGTTACCTACTGAGTGGAAGGTTTCCAAGGATAGAAATGCAAATAAAAATCCCTAGAGAGGTATAAAAATTCTAGACATAATTTTAAAGTGGTTTGAGGTTTTTTCCTCCTCCAAGGAAATATGATTTACTTTAGAACAAAAGGCCAAATTTCTCCCTACCTTTACTTATGAGAACAATGAATATCAGCTGAGTTTTTCAATTAAAGGTGGACTGAGAAGAGAGACTAAGGGGACTATGTAAATGAGGATACCTACCCTTTAGCTGAAATTAGTATAAGCATACAGGAAACATTTTGTTGGAATCTTTATTTACTTTGAAACAATGATTAATTAAAGGAAATAAAATATTTCAAATTACACATACTATCATTTGAAACAATGAGACAATTAATATTCTCGATTAGGATAAATATAACAGAAATTAGGGAGGCACTGTATAGCAATCACATAAATCACATGAATTATGCAGAAGATTATTAAGAAGTAGGATTGCTTATGCTGACCTATGGGGATTTTGCTATGTTAAAGGTCAGTGGAGCCACAACAAACATGAACACAAACGCCTCAACGTCTTAATTTTAGAAGAATTAAATTCTGTAATCGTAAGACTTCTCTTTCATGGTAAGAAATAAATACCCTTTTCTTTTTAATTTTTGCTTTGATGGATAATAAATATAGTAAGTCTTTGGAAAATACTTGGAGCATAATCTGAGAATAAACAAATGGATGAACAGGCCTAAGTACATAGGTCAAATATTGTCCATAGTCAGGTATGCTGCCTAATCATAATCTAAATCATCTTCCTTCTTTATAAAAATTATTGATATCCACTTCCCAAAGAGGCTTCTAGAATCAATTTGCTACAGGATCCTGTAGAAAAGTCAAATTTTAGCCCTCATTCTTTAACCTGAAATATTTTATTTCTCATCACAAATTTTTTCAAGGCAGTCTTTACCTCTTTGTTCCTCAAGGTATAAATGAAAGGATTCAGCAGTGGTGTTACAACAGTGTTCAGAATGGAGACCACTTTATTTATGTTTAGTGAGACCTGACCTCCTGGGCTGACATGAAGGAACACAACTGTCCCATAAAGAATGATGACCACAATCAGGTGTGCAATGCAGGTGGAGAAAGCTTTCTGTCTCCCAGAAGCAGATGGGATCCTCAGTATGGTAAAGATGATGCCAAAGTAGGAGGCAATGGTCAAAAAGGAAGTGCTAAACCAAACCAAAGCAGCAGCAGAGCAAACAAGACGTTCAGTGTGTTGGTTTCAGTGCACGCCAGCTCCAGCAGCGGCCTAACGTCACAGTAGAAGTGATTGATGGTGTTGGGGCCACAGAATGGCAGTCTAAACATCAGAACAGATTGTACAAAGACACAAAGCCACCCATCCACTCATGACAGTGGTGTAGTGGAGAGGGTTGCCTATTGCTGTGTATCGATCAAAGGACGTGGCTGTGAGGAAGAAAAGCTGAGTACCACTAAGAAAAAAGTAGAAAAAGGCTTGGGCTTTGCACTCAGGTATGCTGATAGACTTCTTGACCTTCAGAAGGCTGGCCAAAAACTTGGGTATGGTGGTTGAGACGTAGACGATTTCCAAAAATGAGAGATTTCCAAGGAAGAAATACATAGGCTTGTGGAGAGTGTTGTCATTTACCGCTATAGCAATGATGATGACATTCCCAATGACATTCAAAAGGTAGATTAGCAAGACACCCACAAAGAGCAAAACATGAACCCTTTGCAGGCTGGGGAAACTGAGAAGAATAAATTCAGTCACAGAAGTCTGGTTTTCCATCCTCTGCTTCTGCTTTGTGTATTTCTGTAAGAATAAATGTGTCAAGCAAAGGAGTGATCAAAGTTGATTTGGTTTTGCTGGTTTGGGGGTTTTTTTACGTGAGAAGGAAAGAGAAAATATATGGATATACATGAGTATGTGCATATAGATACATATGTGCATATAGATACATATGTGCATATAGATACATATACAAATAACTTTTCTTTCCAAGAAACCAGAAGGTTTGAGATCTCCATAATAATTTAACTGTTTAATTTCTCTGTTATTTCATTCACACATTAAAATAAGCATTAAATTGTCTTGGGAGTACAAAGCATGGTCTTCCCTTGCTAAGTACCTTCTGAGTAAGGATAGGAACACCTTACTAATATATTGTTGTGGACACATCGTGTCTCTATTCATACCTGTTTCTATTATGCAATCTAATTACACATACATGAAAACAGTCTACATTTCTTGGTCAACAGATATTTCTGAAATGTTGTCTTTCTCTTGTTCTAATGCTCACAGGTCTTGATCTCTTTAGGACCTGATTTACTTTCAGTAGCCACCAGTGCTTTTCTGAATAATGAAAAGTCAAAAATAGAAAGAAAACATTCACGTTTGTAAACAAGCTATCAGTGTTAAAACCATCATCCCAAATAAAAAATACATTCTGAGGAAGGAAGGGAGATAAATACCTGTCAGCAATGTCTATGCTCAGCATATCATTAAACCCCTCCACATAGTATTGTCAAACAAAGTGAGTGGCTCCAGACTGAGGGAAGATATTCAGGTGGCTCCATTGCACATTCACAGGACACCCAAACCTGTCTGTTCTGAGAACTCCTACCACAGTATATTGTCATATTGTAGCGGCAGCTTGTTCCTGAACCAACTCAACAAACTTTAGGCTGCTGTTTCACAAATGAAAGGCTCTGTCCCACTTAGCTCCCACCTCAGCTCTCCTGAAGGAACTCCTTGGACACGGAAGGAGCACATCCACTTGCTCTGAATGGGAGGGCATGGGTGATGGCCTCTGGATGTTCTGAGATTTGTTTGACACTTAAATTGAAAGCTTCCACTGGGAGTTAAAACATTATATTCCTTAAGTGCCAAGAGAAAGTGAAAGCCAAAGCTATTTTCAGTGTGAAGTGTAGGTTGCTGCATGATTATGAATAGGCAGCACAGCTGAGGACAGACAGGATAGGCCAGGAGCATATTTTGTGCATATAACTGCACAAATATGCAGAAATAAAGACAGATATCTACATATAAACATATGCAAAGGAGGGGAGCATTAATAATCTTATAAAGACTTTGGGTGCTTATTAAGCAAACTGTGGGAACAAGCTGAGTCACTCTGCACCTGCATTTAGTTAATTGGAATAAAAAGGGAGGATCGACTTTGGCTAAGTGCTTTGACAGAGAGGATGTTATGTCTCAAAGTGGAAAACAACTTCAAACAGTCTGCATGATAATGTGTGTTTTTCTCTCGTGGCTGAACACAGCCATCACGTGATGTGAGTGTGAATGTGTGGGATCAAGGCACTGGTTTGGGACGATCCCAGGAATTACAATTGACTAAAATAAAAACACCAGGTGCTGTTTAGGAGAGAAAAAAAGGTGAACACCGAAAATGATGAGTAGACAAGTCCCAAAATTGAAGTCTGCGTGTGTGTAGCCTCATTTTCTCCTCAGTGCCCATAGCAAGCTAACCTTGTTCACAAGAAAAAGCAGCAACTCATTTTGATTCAGCATAGAACCAGGGATTTTTTTACAACAGGATGATCCTGGTTCAAACTGACTTAAGAACTTTCATGCAGAAACTTTTCTCATTTTGGTTTTGCTTTATCTCAGCTATATCAGCTTCCGTTTGAAGTTTCAAATATTTCCACCTGCAAAAACAAAACACCAAAGGGTTTTGGTCTCTGAAAGTTTTTCCTTCCCAAACTTCAAAGGGTTTCACAAACTATTAATCAGGTTTTTCTATGATATTTGTCTTGCCACCCTTAGGCCACATGCTTGACATCCTTTTTTTTTAATATCCCAAACATCCAGAGATTTAAAGCCAGACACCTTCAGAGACATACCTGGTACATCACATATTCCCTCCACATCAACCCTACAGTCTTGAGGAGAAATAGGAGTTCTGTAGCCATGGTGACAGATAGTGTGCACTCTCAGTGCAGACAACAGCTTCCCTGATAGCTTTTCCAGGCTTGCTTGACCACTCTGTTCCTCAGACTTACAGTGGGTTGATCAGGGCTGTGAGGATGGTGTAGAAAAAAGGAAATTTTGTTCAGTTTTCTCAGTGAAGATGTCCCAGGCAGCAAATAGACAATATCTCTGTCTATTTGAGGGCCACAGAAATGTGCCTTACAAAATGCTGACCACAATGGTGTATGAAAAGGCTTTGACTTCTCACACACAGTGGAGATACCCTTCTGCCTCCTAGTGCTCAATGGGATGCTCCGGATGGCATCTGTAATGCAGACATAGGACGCCAGGGTGAACAAAACTGTCAAGACTATGTCTGGGATGATCATTGCAGCACCTGGTGCCACTGGAGGAGAGCTCTATAAAGAGATCAAATCACAGAAGTAGTCAGTTGGGCTGGAGCCACAAATCTTTAATTGGCTTGAGACATATGTGATGATTGTGGAACTAGTCATTCCTGCAAGCCAAGAACCAGCTACCAGCTGGAAACACACCTTCCAGTTCATCCTGCTTGTACACAGCATGGGGTGACATATGGCCAGGTATTGACTTTAGGACATGGTGGCCAGCAGGTAACACTGCAAGAAGTTCAAAGAAATAGAGCCGAGCCATACAGTCCTGAGCAGAGGTGGTCCCGTCCCCAGTCAACAGCCTGGGCACATTAGATGGAAGTTTAGTAGATCTCCAAGTTGCACATTTTCACTGAAAAAAAATACACTGGGCTGTGGGATGCTGCTGTGTCACCACCAGCACAATGATGAAGATGTTCTTGAGCACAGACAGTGAGAGAGAGGAGGAGGAGAAGGACCTGGAATCAGGTGTGTTCCTGAATCCCAGCAGGAGAAACTCTCTCAGTGACATCTGGTTTTCCCATTCCCCTTTTCCAGGCAGTGTTTTCAGTCTTTCTTTTCCCCTCTTGTCAGAAAGGGCACCTACAAGCAAGGGAATATTTGTGAAAGACAATGTTATTAGAGAGAAAGCAGTGTTCTGCACACATGAAGCTGTATTCACATTCCCTTTAGGGGCTCCATGCGTAGTGCACGAAAAGGACAGGGTTCTTGGAGAGATCTCATCCTAGGAACACTCCTTTCTACTAGACAGATGAGTTGACCAATGGAGGTACCTATTACTCTCTATGGAATAAAAAAGGAATGGGCATTTGCTCAGGCTTCAACAGCTCAACTGCTATGCCTGAATTTACTCCCAGTAAGTTTTTCCCAGGTGTAAAGGACAGAATTCTTTTTGCTATCAGCAGGAGAAAGGCAACTTAATGTGCAAGAGAAGATTTAAATCTCAGATTCACAGTAAGTGAAAGAGGGTCCAGCACAAATAAACTTGGCTTCTTTCTGGTGAGACAGAAGGTAACATTGTTTGCTGAACTGCTCTATGAGTGCATCCAGCTAATTATCATGTTGTAGGATGGATCCTACAATAACATCAACGATAGAACAAATGCAGGACAAGGGCCGACTCTTCAGGAAAGGCAGAACTGGCTTAACAGGGACGATAAATAACAAGCTGTCTGGAGAAACTGAAAGTACAGAAACTTGCAGGAAATTAGAGGGATGTAGTGGGTTGATCCTGGCCAGATGCCAGGTACCCACTAAAGCCAGTCTCTCACTCTCCCCCTGCAACTGGACAGAGGAGAGAAAAAAACAGCTAAGGATTCATGAGTTGAGATAACAGCTGGGAGAGGTCACTGATTACCTTCATGGGTAAAACAGACTCAAAGTGGGGATATTACCTAAATTTATTACTAACAGGATAAAAGCCAAAGAGTGAGAAATAAATCTGAAAAACACCTTTCCCCCACCTCTCCTTCCTTCCATGGTCTACCTCCTCTCCCCCCAGCAGTGCAGGGGGACGGGGAATGGGGGTTACGGTCAGTTGTTGTTTCTGCCGCTGCTCAGAGAGAGGAGTTGGAGTCCTTCCCCTGCTCCCGTGGGGTCCCTCCCATGGGAGACAGTCCTTGATGGACCTCTCTGGTGTGAGTCCACCCCTTGGGCAGCAGTTCTTCCCAACCTGCTGTCCCGTGGGTCACTCCTCCATGGGGTCAGTCCCTCACAGATGAGCTGTACTGGCGTGGGTCCCCCACAGGGGCCACAAGTCCTATCTGGGGAAAACCTGCTCCAGCGTGGGCTTCCCTCTCCAGGGGCTGCAGGTCTCCAGCAGGACCCTGCTCCATCTTGGGCCTCCCACGGGGTCACAGCCTCCTTCCTCCATCCACCTGCTCCAGCATGGGCTTCTCAAGGCCAGCTCAAATATCATGGAGTGAGAGTAGCAAGGAAATCATCAGTGAAAACCCCACCATATAATAAACTGCTTACTGTTTACAGGGTTTGAATGCTTTTCTTACTGAGATCACAGCAAAGTAGCACCTCGGAGTGCAGCACAGGAGGAAAAGATCTTCTCCAGACACCTCAACCTGTCAGGTAGGATGATTTGAAAACCCTGAGCCATGACAAAAACTGAGGAAGACACACAGCTGATATCATATCACGTCAGATGCCCTTTCTTCTGCCAGTAGAAGAACTGGCACTACAGTACCAAGTTCCTCTGAGCTTTTAACTATGGCTTTGGGACTCTGTGATCCATGTTGCCAGAAAGAAACTGAGTAAACAGGGAATGAAGTGGAAAAGAAGTATCACGTAGCGCCCGTGCATGAGGAACAGAACCCCCTGGCCAGACTTTATCCAAGAGTTTTCCCAATGTTGTTATCTCAGTTTAACGAGAGAAATGTTTGCTAAGGAGGGTGGGATATGAGAAAAACCAAGCTCCTCCCTCTGAGTAATTATAACTTCGCAATTAAGAGGCTCCAGTTGAAAAGGTGTGGAAAAGGAAAATAACAGCTCTTTACTAAAGAGTTTTGAGGCCATGTTGCTGAGGACACAGCTGTGTTGGGCAGGGCACGTCTCCAGGATGGAGGACCACCACCTCCCTAAGATCGTGCTCTATGGCAAACTTGACACTGGCTGCCGCAAGAGAGGAGCCCTGAAGAGGAGATACAAGGACTCTCTGAAACAATATCTCAGCTTTGACCACATTGATCATCATCACTGGTCTACTCTGGCCTCCAATCAGGAGACATGGAGACACACTATCTATAATGCTGCTGCTTCTTTTGAGAACACACGCAGAATCATTCTTGAGGAGCAAAGACAAAGCAGAAAGAACCGTGTCTTGCCAGTACCGCCTAAGGAGACATTCTGCTGTGCCTTTTGCAACTGGATGTGTCTATCTCACATTGGCCTTTTTAGCCATCAGCGCGTTTGTACCAAGTGTGGATAGAAGCCTAGCCATGATGATTATAATAATGACTAAAGAATATATATGTATATATATATATATTTAGGTAACACAACAAAACAAGCAATAATCCTGTAACGAAACTCCTACTGAAAACAATTAAGTCCTTTTTGTCTTTTGGTACAGTTATAACCACGACCAGCAGGGGGCGCTGTTGGATCGGAAGTGCTGCAGTGCCTCCAGGGCCGGCAGGGGGCGCTCCGGGCAGGCCCCACACGGCAATGGCGGGTCCGGTCACGGCGCTGCTCCGACACCCCAGGGCGGGCCCCACCCTTGGCCACGGGGCTGGACGCGGGTGCCGCTCCGTCCAGCCACGAGCAGGTAGACCCCCCACCCCCGAAAAAAGGGAACCGCCCCACAAGGTACTGGCAGTCTTTGTGACAGCAGAGGTCGCGTGTGACGCCCCACCGCAAGCACCGCAGGGCTCTCACCCGGGAACAAAGGCGGCTCCGTGGGTCGTGGGCAGAGCAGGTCATGAGGGGTCGGAGGGGAAACTGGGACCTTCCTCAGGACCTGAAGAAACCATTGATCCAGCCAAAAAGATGAACTCGGAGCGCCCTTTCCTCACATGGCTCCCGAGTCCGGCCAAAAGCAAAAGCCGCCGAGGGAAAGAGAGAAAAAAAGAAAAAAAAATAACCAAAACAAACCTGAGCCCTCCCTTCCCCCAGCTGTAGTTACAGGGGGATGGGGTTTGGCTTACGCAATTTACATAGTGTGTCGAGGTTATTTGGCATTTCAGTGAAGCCTCACCTAACAATAGCGTCTTAGCTTGCTAGTAAGAAGATGTTGGTATGGGAAAATTCACTAGGAAAAAGCAAAAAGGTGTAGAACTATAAAAGTTGTGGATAAGCACAATGATATTCAAGCTAATTTTCTCCCTACGACTTTTGAGCTTTTATAGGGAGATGGAGATGCTAAAGGAAAGCACACAGGTGGCCCATAAAAGTCTCAGATTGAATAATTTGCTCAAAAAGGTGATGGTCCCAAAGTTTAATACACCTTTCTCCCAGGCCAGGATGAATTTAGTCTGGAGACACTGATGACAAGTGCAATTAGGAGAGATTCCCTCATTCAACACTGTGAATGAAGAGTGTGAGGACCTCTCCTGTGGTAGTACCTGGAAATGAAGACTCAGGTCTTGCTGTCACCTGTTCTGCCCCATTTCACTTCCCTCCCTATTCAGTATGAAAACCCTTCTCTCACAGGAAGGCCAATAAAAAGTTTAGCTCTTTCACTTTTCCTTCCACAGATTGAGCTCCGGGCCTGAAGCACCTGGGTGCCATTTCCAATGTTATGGATGTAATCAGTGTCCTGGAGTGTCTTTCCCTTAGGATTTCAGGGAGGGAGCACTGCACAAGTGTGTCTATGTGGAGGGTGGAAGTTATGAGCTGACGCAAACTGTTTCTACATCTTGGGCAATGGTTGTCCTTCCCCAAACCTCCAAAGCATTTCAGCCTGCTCTAAGAAAGAGCAACTGAGGTGGGGCAGCAAGCACTGGCTTTTCTAAGCTGCTGCAGCAGAACCTGGTGAGGATCTGAGAAGGGCATTCAGCTCCAATCTTGCAGAAGACAATAATGGGGTTAATAATCTCAGAATTAGGCAGCTGTGGGTCACTGGGGCTGCCTTTTCAGCCTTTCCAATGGTCTTGGGAGCCTATTGGAGGGAAGAACCCAAAACCTCTTCCTGGATAAACAATACATTTGTTGGTGGCTGAAGTAAGCTGAGCTATGGGTATTTAATCACAGTCATGATTCACCTCTCCAAAATGTGAGGTCCCCAGTGCCCTTCTTTCCTCCTTCTACACCCCAAGGAGTGTAGGAGGGCACGTTCCCCATGTCATTTGCCTCTCTGAGAAAGGTGATTCCTATGTCTCCCCATGGACTTCCAAGGCAAGAGGCGGGTTCGAGTGCACAGAGACATTTTTGCTGTGTCTGCTCCAGACAGCAGAGGTGAATATTCAAGGGAGAAGAGCATTTAGTTTCAGAGATATAAACTCTAATGGAGTTAAAAAGTTAAAGCTAAAACCAAGTTTGACATTAATCACCCGAAAACATTTCTGCTACAGCTAGAATAAAGTAGGTATCAGTCATGTATCTGGTGGGCAAAGTGTTGCTACAGCCACTAGCTGAAATAAATTCAAGATAAAAGATGTCTAGAAAAAGTCTGACAAGTCCTCAGCTCCTGTCCTGCTAACCTAGAACTCTGTGCTCTTCCAAGATGGATGGCAGCACCTTATTTTGTGTATATGGTCCCCACAGCTATGGGGACGTCCTTTCCTGTTCTTCCTGGTGGATCATAGATGGTCCCTAGAAGGAAGGATCATAGGCCCAAGAGAAATAAAGGCTATGTCACACCTTTTGGCTTACAGAAGATTCACTGTTTATTGGGAAGTGAAGCAGAGACTTTGCTAACATGGAGTGATACCCATGAATTCAGGACCCAGAGGCAGAGGGAGTAAATTGCATGACTGGTTTGTTAATCAAAAGCTCCTGAAGTTCCACCTCCAACATACTGATAGTTTTCAAATCAGTCTCACGTCACTTGAGCTCTTTTAAGCCTTATGATGGGCTGACTCTGATGAAGATGAGAGTTTTACTTCCAAAATGATTGGTTTACATGGCAAAGGAAAGATATGGGAGTTCCTGACACAAGCTGGGCTTTCCGGGGAAAGCAAAGAGGTCAGCAACTGATGTGCAGCAGGAGTCCTTCATTGTGAGCCTCTGCAATGGTACCTGCTGTTGATACCTCTAAACACTGCACTTTTATGGTGTGCAAAGCACTCTCTTGTCAAAACAGAAACCATAGGCATAAAATAATTTAGTTTGGAAAAGACCCTTAAGATCATTGAGTCCAGTTGTTAAACCAGCACTTCTAAGTCCACAACTAGGTCCAACCATGTCCCTAAGCACCACCTTTGTGGGACCCAGTAGCTATTTTGCAGAAGTCTAATTCAGGAAGGACAGGGCTTCCTTCCCACTGCCACCTCCACCCAGACTAAACACTTGGAGGGGCCGAATTGGAGTTTTTCTCTTGAGGAGTTCAGCATGGTACAGGTTCAGTCCAAATAGTATAATATATAATAAGCAGTGAGAATTAATCTTTAATGTAAGACCCTAGCTGGTAGCAAAAGTGGTATCCCAGCACAGTGTGTGAATTTGGGTTATACTTTCTGCAGGTGCTGTTGATCTGTATCAAGGCATGTGTGAACTCAGAGCCTGAAGATATTTGGCTTTGCACTGCTCCCAAGGAGGTTGTTGGCTGCCTCCAGACACTTGTCCAGCTGGGACACTGCAATCAGGGAAAGACAGAGGCTCTAGATGGCTCAGGCAGGGGGGAAGAGTCCACAGATAGAAGGAGCAAGGGGACACAGGACTTCTTCACATGCCCGCAGGAAATCACGGCCCTGTGAAGGAATGAGACAGGTCCCACTGGACAGAGAAGGGAATCAGCAGGAAAAGGACGGTCAAGACTCACCAGCTCGGCTGCACAGCCAGGTCACGGCCTTGGCCTCCAGAAGTTCACAGTAGTCTTGGTAACACTTGTTGGGTCTGTGCAGCCAGGTCACAGCCAGCACTGTGGCCCAAATGCTTGGTTCCATGACCTGTAGGAAAACAATGGACTGCCATGCACTGCCGATATCTCGCCTGTCGCCTCACTGCTTCCCCTCATCCATTGTAGCTTATAGTTTCTGATCCCTTCATTCGTCCCTTGGGATGCCAGTGTTGCCACCAGCCAAGGTTTTCCCACTGCCCCACTGTCCCACTGTCAACATAAGGGGTTCCCCCATTACCTCACCAGGCATCATTCTCTTGATTTCAGCTTCATTGACCTCCAGCACAGAGGCCAGTCCTGAGCTGAGGGCCCAGGAGCCATCTTCATTCTGCAGTGCTACCAGCTTCTGACACTCAGCAAAGGCTTCAGTGGACCATGGCCAAAAAATTGGAGAGCGCAACACATATGCTGTAGGATCCGCATACTTGAGAGAAGAAATAGATGGTGGTAGTGGTTTATGTGCTGTGGGAGAAGATGTGAACAGGAATATTGGGAAAATCACAGGAAGTTGACCCCACTCTACTCCCTTGTGCAATGCCCCAGGACATTATCTCTGCTCTCCTTTGGGCAGCTTCCTGCTGCCTAAAGTCCCCCCCACATGTCTCCAAAGCAGTCCAATCCATAGCCCCTTCTGGACACCCTTAAGTCATCCCCAACCTTGACCATTGCCTCTTCTTGCATTCCTGCCCAGCTATGTCCCAATACCTACCTCCCTTGATACACCCCAACACATTTTGTTCAAACATGTGTGTATGGTTCAGCACCATCCCTGCCCCCTCCCTGGGTGTCCCTGTGCTGGGCCTCGTATTTACTGAAGGACTTTCAGATACAAGGGTAACTAATAATAATAATAATGGCCAGTCTTCGCGAACGAAGATTTTGGGAAAGGTCTTTTACCTTTCCAGCCTGCGCAATGGATTTTTTAGGTGAGACACAGCCTGCGCTGAACTGAACCCACCCTGTAATCCTAAGGTTCATCTGCCAGGGCCAAGTGAGCTTGGACAATGGCAGTGAAGTCCTCAGGACGTAGGTTTGTTTAGAGTGACCTTCTCATAGATGGATGGCCTCACAGGGTTAACGGGCTCCATCTGCCCAGGGGACTAGGAATCGAACCTGGGTCGCAGTGGTGAGAGTCCTGCATGCTAACCACTAGGCCACCAGGGGTCCCAACAAGGGTAACTAAGGGAAGATTAAAGGCAAAACTCATCGGTTTCCACACCATGAACAAGACATGGCACCATAACCCTCCTGTAAGACAGTGGATTATCCCTACATCTCCCATCTGGTTCAAGGCCCCATACCTTTTGAGCAAGCTCCCCGGTTGGGCAGGGCAGCAATGCCACAGGTGAGCCGACGGAGGGCACGCCATGACTCATGCACTGCTGTCAGCCAGCCAGGTGGGACCCAGATGGTCACAGGATAGCAGGAAGAGTCCTTACACGAGCCAGGAAGCTCAACAAGCTGGCAGGGGATGTATGACTGGCAGGGTGCCAACAGTGCCAGAGGCCCTTTGGGGGTAAACAGGAAAAGGGACTGAATTAATCACATGGGAAAGAAGCACCTGGTGGTGATGGGGCCTGCCCCAGGAACCTGGGAGTGCCCTGTGGCTGAGGTTCCAGCTCCAGTGGAATGAGGACATCCCATGGAGCTGCCCCACCAGCTCTTTTCTGCTGGTGACTTTCCTTACCTCGGTACCAGGTTACCCTCCGTGATGTACGAATGCCCACATAGCTGGTAAAGGGGCAGATGATCCCTGAAGCGAGGCTGATCTCTACCGCACGATGCCTGGGTTCATCCCCTGACCCACTCGCAGCCTCAAGAAACAATCTCTGCAGTAAGGACCTCACAGCCAGACGATGCCCAGCCAGCCTGGGAACAGAGTGGGGTGAAGCCTGAGCACCTGAATCATCTCTGTACTGAGGAAAGAGAGAGAGCCTGGACACTTGGGTTCTCTCTCCTCAGGGCTGAGGATGGACAGAGGGAAAACCTGGATGCCTGGGTCCTTGTCTGTCTGGAGGGAAGTGGTGCCCAAGTGCCTGGGTCCTATCCCTGTGGGGTCAAAGGGAAGGAGGGCATGCTTGGACACCTGGGTTCTCTGAAGGTTTGGGATGGTGTGTGGAAGGTGGAAATGCACAAGTTATCTATGCCCCCTCTTGGTTGGAGTCCATGTTAGAAATGAGGGGAATGCATCTTCCCTGAGGATAGGTTCTCACCGCCCATCTCCCTGTGAGCACAGTGGGAATTCAATCGTGTGAGTGACATCCTGGCCCTCCAGGCTGCACTGCAAAGTCATGACCCCCTTGGCCACCGTTGTATCCTGGAAACACATGGGAAGCTACTGGAGGTTACTGGGGACACAAGATGGTTACTAGGGGATATTGGGAAATTACTGAAAGATTACTGGTGTTTACTGGGAGGCTATTGGGAGATAGCTGAGGGTGACTGTGGTCCCAGCTCTCACCTGTGCCTGTCCATGGATCTGGGCATAGAGAAGACTGTGTTGACCCTGAAAGATAGACTGAGGAGTACCCCCCAGCACTTCAACCTCCAGGCCATGTGGCAGGGTCCAGCTCAGCGAGACTACTTCAGCTGCTGGCTTGAGGGCCCTCTTCAGGCACTGCAACACCTGGGGACAGAGGGCAGAACACCATAGTTTGCAGCAACTTGGCTCCCAGTGTCAGG